AATATTGCAAATCGAATCGCAATATCTGTCAGAAAAATCGCAATTAGATTATTTCCCCAAATCGTGCAGCCCTACTCGAGTGTTTTCTTTTTACCTCACGCTTCATTCAATAGAAGCGGGAGGCTAACCCTACTACCTCTGATTGAGAATATGATGCTGAACCCACTCTGGATTGTTCTAAACCAAATGTGACACTGAACTTAAATTCTGCTTTCAATCAAACCAAACTGTTCAGTGTCAATAAGAACCGTTTTATCCCCCTTTTTTGTTTCCAAAAGCAAGTCTTTTTTTCTCTTTTTCTGCTAGATGATAAAGGTTTTGCAGTATAACAACAACCCTCAAAGTGCCAGTGTCTTTCTACCACCACCAGAGGTCTGTTTCACTTCCTGTTATTGGTCGTTGATTGTGTGTTACTGTGCAAATTCAACAATAAAACAGGTGCTGCTTACCTCAGACCAGTCCTTTTAGTAACACGTACAGCCACTGTGATTATACACCATTTAAAGAAATCTAGATATGTAGAAATGCAATTCCATTTGATCAAGCAGCTTTTTGTGTTTTAGCACAATTCATCTGAAATAACTGAGTGTCAACAATGTCGACATTTTTCACCATCAGGATTCGCAGGACAGTTCTGACGGCGTCCCGACGGCGCCCCGCATGACGGGCAGTCTGGTGTCGGACCGTAGCCATGACGACATCGTGACCCGCATGAAGAACATCGAGTGTATAGAGTTGGGACGCCACAGGCTGAAGCCCTGGTACTTCTCTCCGTACCCGCAGGAACTCACCACGCTGCCCATCCTCTACCTCTGTGAATTCTGTCTCAAGTACCTCAAAAGCCTCAAGTGTCTCCAGAGGCATTTGGTAAGAATCCTAAACGTGTCTCCATCTTTAAGATAAGATAAGATGGACCTTTATTAATCCCCGTGGGGCAATTCAGTAGTTCAACAGTAACAGGATAAAGTTAAAGATAACACATTTAAAATGATAAATAAGTATAAAATAAGAAATTAATGAAAATGAACATATATACATATTTGGTCATGTGTACATATTATTTACACGTGTGTGTGAAAACAGTGTGTCTTTACCATGGATGTATAATAAGAACTGGATACAGCGTGGGAGGCGGGGCCTCGTTCATTCTTATGAGAGTTGCTCATTGGCGCATGAAGACAAAATGGCCCAACTTTTGAGAGAGCGAAACGTCACGAAAGTATTCATATAATCATATAATCCGTTGTTATTGTGCATCCATGGGTAAAGTTAAAACTCATGTAGTACTGAACACGTCACATGAACGTGCCGGGCGTCGCGGTCCCGTGGGTTAGATGCGCGTTCATAATGCAGAGGAAAATAACTCAGAAAAACGTTATTAACACATTTTACAACTTGAGGACTGAATGTTTTTAAGGGCTATACAAATGTTCTTACTGGGTAGTTTATTTAGTTTTAAAAAAATTATCCAACGATTTACAGACGTCTCTTTCCCAATGTTAGTCAATGGGAAAAAGTATTTCCGGGCCCAGCGACTAATACGGAAGTGTAGTACCGCCGTTTGGCCACAACGAATATTTTCCTCAGAGTCCGGCGCACTTCCTGGGGGCTTGGATCGGATGCAGCTGCTGAATAATGGGCGCCTTTGACCTTAAA